AATGATTAATTATAGTATTTTATAGTTTAACTTTGGTTAATAGCTGATGTTTCATTATTTTGACTATTACTAATTGGTTAATATTCACCATACAGTATACACTCGCACATAGAAAGGCGCGATAGGGACATGAGTGGGACATACGGCTGTTGAAGGTAATGTTAATAAACATTTAATTAAATTAACATGTGTTAAATAAACTCATATATTAATTTTCAAATATTTAATTAAATTGTAATATTTAATATTTTAGTTAACTCGAATTTACTTACAAACAATTATGGTCACATTTATTAAATTATTTTTACTCATTGATTCTAGCATAATAAGGAAAAACAAACAGTTAAAAATAAATTGTTAAAAACAAGTTACTTTTATTGTAAATATATTGAAGGACTGGATAAAAACTACCAATTAACTAAATTTAAAATGATCAATTATGAGCAAAAACATACCGGGTTGTCGCCGTTACAGTTTCTAGCCTGCGTATTTTTATCCTCGCTAAATCTGCCATTGACCAGGCTTTCTCTATCGGTTGCCTGGCGACCTTGCAACATGAACCCGGTAAACGGCAAACCCTTTGACTCAATTGTAACTAGCACGTTGCCATTGGACCCCAAACTGGCCCTGATCTCATACGGTGCCTGACCATATTGTTTGTCTACCCCGTGGCCCGGGTATAATGTCTGACATGATTTAGTGGGCGCCCCGTGACTGTAGGCTTCGGGTGTGATGAATAGAGGTGTTAACAGGATTAGTAGCCGCGCGATCGGCTTGTAATACATGTCTGTTAAATAAAATGAAATTAATTTTATATGTATGATAAATAATGTTAAATTTGTTTAATACTGTATAATATGTTTATATTGGTGATCTGAAATTTTTGTTAAATTTTTATATAATTTAAATAGTTATATATTAATATAATTGTAGTTTTGCAATATAACATTTTAAAAATTAATATTTAATAAAATTAAAATGACTGTATTTGTAAATGTTATACACTCTCTGCTATTTTAATATAGTTATAATTTAATTTTAAATATTTAACAGGTCAACTAAAATAATAGTTTGCAATAATATAAAATTTTTATAAATATATAATATTTATTGTAAAAATTAAATTAGTAATATTGTTATTAGTAATTAGTAATTAGTAATATTATTAGCAATATGTTATTGCTAATAAATTTAATCAAAATGAGGTTCGAAGAAGATCACCAATTTTTATAACATGGATATAGATAATTATGACGTTAATGTATACACTTGTTTTAATTTACGGTTTTTACAATATTAATGTTTAATGAATTTAAATCAATAAAAATTTTCACATAAAAGTACCAATTAAAAAAGGTAAAATTATTAAATATGATACACTTATTATTATTATAATATATTTACAGTTTTATTTTGTATAATATATTTAACAATTGTTACAAATAATTTTTAAAAATACATTAATCATTCACTTATAATGAAAGTTTTCCAAGATGCTGAATCTAAATCTTATCTATATAATTGTTATCTCTTAAAATAACAAAGTGTCATCAAAATTTTACAAAACAATTTATCAACAATAATCTAAACATTTTATCATAACAATACACAATGAGATAAACTAATTAAAAAATTAATATTTATAGATATGATAAAATAAAATTATCTACATACCTTATTATTGTACAACTGATGGTATATATCCAATCACTTATGATGATCGTTAGATAAATCCCTTCACTATTAATAAAGTAAAACAAAAAACTTGATGATAAAAATACAAATATTATTTCAAATACAAGTTTGTGCCGCACATATAGTATATAACTAATGTACAAAGTTATTTGTTAAAACAAATAAAACCAAATAAAACACACGAAATTTGAAAATAAAACAATTTGGTTTTATTATTAAAACCAAATAAAACCAAATTTTGGTCGTAATTAAGTTGTAAAATGTGACCACATATCACCTGTTTTGTGAATGTTTCTAAAATTGTTTTATACATTTGTACATAATTTTGTATATTTAATTTTTTCGATAAATTAAATGCATAAAACAAACATTTTAGCCATTTGTAGCGATTCGGCTACCTAGATAATAAGTCTCTTCTATAATATTAAGTCAAATTATACTAACTATTTGGTTTATACAAAAAATAAAACCAAATAAAACGAAATTTTAAAAAAAAAATTACTGTTAAACCACCAAATAACACCAAATTTTCCTTATAATTAATAAAACCAAATAAAACACACGAAATTCAAAAAAATAATAAAACCAAATAACTTTGTACACTATATATAACCGATAGGTATGTATATTAATAATAATAATAATGTACTGTAATATCCGTTTGTGTGAATTGTTTAGTACACTATTAGAGTCAATGGCGCGTAAAACGTGTTGTTTGCCTTCAAAACGGGCCACTAATTGAAGGCTATTGTTATAACTGTATGTACTTGCTATGAATTATTATGGTTATTTTAAAAGCACTTAAGGTGATTTTTGTAATTTACACATGTATCTTTGGATTATTTAATTAAATATTTGTTATGATATGTGTTTTCCCGCACATAATAACTATAATATACTTTGTTTTTTAGTTGCATTAATGTAAAAACATAGTGAGAGTGAGAGACAAAAGAGAAAGAGAGAGCGAGAGAGAGAGAGAGAGAGAGAGAGAGAGAGATTTATAAAATATAAAACATGTTAATATAGACCGGAAATAATTCCCATTAAATAATTTTGTGAACAAAAATTCTATCAAAAATTACATTATATTGTAATATATTTCGGGGAAAAACACATTCAAAACAAATAAAAGTTTTGTTTTATTAGACATTATATGAAAATCAAATTAAAATACATTTATTTCGCTATGATTTCAATCGGAAATATATTTTACTCTCAATGAAAGTAACATTATTTTAATGGATATAAAAATCACTAAATATTATAATAAATATTTTCCATGTATTAAACACTGGCAAAACAAAACACACACAACACGACTGTCCATATGTTAAGCACAGGTAGTTAAGCAGCACCGGGTAGTGTAACTAATACACAAAATATTACAAATAATATATTTTACCTAAATATTGAGGTCACAAAACTTTTTACCACAATCTTATTACTATTATATACTGTGAGCTAATAATAATTAAACGCAAAATTTTAATTTATTTAATTTTCAAACAGAAATATCGCAAAATATTATAGATTTTTTAAATGGTTTGAAAGTTATATAACAAGTTTGAGATCACGTCTCGCGGTTTTGGGCCACAAATCCCTTTCCCTTTAATATTATATTTGTTTCTTGTTTTAAACTTACCCTCAGTTTTTAGTTATGTATTTTTTATATGGGAATTAGTGTCGAAAGAGCACCGGTGGGTATAGAGCAGCACAGGGTATATAAATTACATATACTTTATCACTATATGTGTTATCTTAAGCTAAAATTTTCAACATAATAGTGAAGGTAAAAATTTATTAGTTTAAAAGACATTTTTTATATTAATGTTTTTTATTTGTTATGATATTTGTACGTGTTAAATGTGCAAACTAACTTGTTTAATGTTTATATGTATAAAGGATGATTATGTGTTAAAATATTTTATGATTTAAACTAGACGTGCTTAAATATTTTTATTATAATTTTGTCTATGAGTGGTTTGAGTTTTTTTTATTAATGTAATAATTTATTATATTTTACATATTTTAATGTGCATACATAATAAATTAACATTTATTGTACCAATGCAATTAATACAAATTACCCAGCATGCCTAATTGGTCTATTTCATAATCATAATGAAAATATTTATACCGACAAAATAAATTGCTTTAAATATAATAACTTAATTTTCAATCTAGATTTATTTTGAAAAAAAACAATTTCATTTTCTGCACATTATATGCAAATTATTATTAATAATAAAATACTTTCACAACTATTTCTGTGCCATAATTCACACTCTATTATGTAATAACAATATAAATGTGAAAGTATTTTAAAATAATGTCGAAAATTATGTTTTAATAAGTTTTTATATGCGTTTAAATTAGTTATGATTTTATGGTATTTTAAACTTAAAATTAATGTATTTATCGCTAATTGTAATGAATATTAAGCATATTTTAATGTGTGTTTTGCGATACACTTTGTGAACCCTAGAGAGAGAGAGAGAGAGAGAGAGAGAGAGAGTCATAACATAAATATTTTAACATTAATCGATTTAGTCGAAAAATAAATAATTCATTTTCTAAGAAACTAAACATATTTGGCTATAATTCAAGGCTTTACACATAGAAAGTAACAAAACATTTACGCTATAATAATAACGTTATAATTAATTTGGACTTACACTGATTTTTATTATATGCTTTACCAAATAAATCAAATTATTTTACGTTAGTCAAACTTACCGTTACCTTTAACTATATAAGTCTAGACTAACCTTGGGCCTAATCTACCCGAAATAATAGCACGTGAACATATATTATGTGTAATGCTAAAATGTTCATGTGTTTTGGTTTTTATTTTGTCGGGCTATAACATTGTATAATTATAAGTTAATTAAGGCGTTAAATGTATTGTTTAATATTGTATTGTTTTACAAATAGTCAGTTTTGTAATGGTAATTTAAGCCATAATGAAGCATTAATTAGACTATGTACATTTATTCACGTATATATTGGAATTAACATTAATCACATTTATTAGCTTTTAATTAATTTAAACTCTAGATTGTTTTGACAAATCTATGACAATATAATGACAACTTTGATCTATACATGTTCGGTTCACGAAATTTATTATTTATTAATTATATAATTAAATTAGGTGTGTATTTAAATGTTAATATAATAGATTGTAATTATTATAAAATCAATACCATATTCTAATCAAACTATGTTTGCAAACTGCAAAAATTTAGCAAAATATACAAATGATAATGATAAAATTAAATACTACTATCTGTATGGAATTAATACTATTCTTATGGAAACGATCATCAAATATTTTACTTATGTTTATTAAATGTTTAAAATAGTTTTAAAATAAACAATTATATTTAATCAATTTTATTTGTAATAATTTTATTACCATATTAGTATATAAAATTATTTGAGACTTTAATAATTTATTATTTAAATATTACAATATTTATTTTAGAATTTAATATTATAAAATTAATACCATATTAGAAATTTAATTGGCGTATTGTTAAATAAAACAAATTATGAATTTTATTTAATTAAAAATATAATAATACTTAATTAGCAGGCTGTAAAAATAAATAATATATACGAAATGATTATGCTTAACTAATACATTACAATTTAATTGGTTTTATTCCCATAACTTTTATTATTAACATGATCTATTCAAAAAAAATCTTGTTCAATTTCTGAAGTAATTAAATTTTTATAAAATGAATTTAACATTAAAATAAATAAAAATAAGATGCTCACTAACTAAGCATATCACTTTATAAACAACACATATTAATCTACAAAAAATTTAATTTAATATAATTATTTGTCCCTCCAGAACACACTCACCCACCGGTCGGGTAGCGGCAAATACAAAGTAGAATCATCATGGTCACCACCACGTGGGTTTGTCGGAGGGCTCATATTCAGGGCCACAATAGTTCAGACAAAAAACGTTTTCTGGACGGCACAGGACTCGCAGGCCATACACATTAGCGCACCCGTAGTCATACAACACAAACCCAGCTTAGCTTACAATAGACAGGGAGAACCGGCCGAGTCTAAACAGACATCACCCGGTGCCGCTCCGCCCAAGGGTGGCGATAACCTGCACGCCTCGTCGGTACCCCACGGCCAGTCGTCAGTGGCCGAGTTAGGCGGTCACAGCCGTATACCCTATGATGTGTGTGACCGTAGATTTTGTATTGGACTGCCGGCCAATTGTGTTCAGTACCGGACGTGTAATATGCTGTTGTCGGGCGGGTATGTGTCCCGCGGCGACGGTATGGTTGAGTTTGAAGTGTACGCCGATGTGAATAAATATAATGGTAACTCTTACTACTCGGTCGGTTTGTCTACTGATAATAAAATGGGTATGATACTTTCTTAATATTTAAAAATATTTATAAATATGATGTAAATTAGTAAAAGTTATTAGTGCAGTATTCAACCCAGATGTTTTGTTTTATCCATTTCAATTATTATAAACTACTCTTTGTATCATTAGTTACAGTTACATTTATTAAGCTCAATATTGTATTTTTTAAATACTCGTATTTTACTAACAAATAAGTTAATAAAATATTAATAAATTATGATATATTATTATATAATTAATTTATAAAAATATAATTTCGTAAAGTTTAAAGATATCAAAGTATTTTATTAATATAGAAATAAAGATTAAATCCAAAACAATTTGTTTATAAATGAAAACTATACAAAACATTACTTAAATAAAAACCTTACAGTAGTTAACATTATAGAAATATCATAAGAAATTAAAAATACAATATTAACAAATAAGTTATAATAATAAAACATAATAACTAAATGAATATTTTATAAAATATTTTTAGGTGACGATAGTGTGACCGACTGTATGGTCAGCGATGGGCGACCACTGATCCGCAATAGTGTAAACATCGGTCGCAGTAACGAGTATTTGTCCCAAAACGAGTACCACTCGGTAACACCACTCAACACAACCTATGCTAACGGAGTGTTGTATTGCAAGTGGAGGCGCCGCCGGAGGTCCACAATCCGGGGCCAACAGTACGACATCAAAGACCGCAAGTATTACGTGTTGTTAGCGTTTGGACTGTTGGGTCAGAACAAAGACAAGGAGTTTCATACGGAGAGGTTAGCCAGTGATAGGGCTGTGGATATACGGCAAATCGGACATGTGCACACACAGTCCAGTGCGTTTCTTATTAGAATACATGGTAAATAATCTTGATTATAAATGATATTACTATGGATTCATTAATTTAATTATTTTTTCCGCTAGGCACATTTATGATTGTGGCATGGTTGGGCTGCGTGAGTATTGCCATTTTTATGGCCAGATATTTTAAACAATCGTGGCAGGAAGAAACTGTGTTTGGTGTTCAAATTTGGTTTGCGGTAAATATATATTTTTTTAAATTAAATTTTTTAGTGCAAATAAATAATTATTTCTATATTATTATACTTTTTGGTTTTATTATTAACCCATATATAATTTACATAGGTTCACCGATCGTTAATGCTAGCATCAATGATCCTGATATTAATTGGCTCAATAAGCATTTGGATATATGTGGGTACATTTAATGTGGTAAGTTTAATAAAATTTTTAATAAAATCACTAATTTAATTTGTATAATATGAGTTAAACTATAATTAAAAAATTTATATATTATATACGCTTATTACGAGAAATTGATATAAAATATATGGTTTAAATTAAAATGCGAGGTTAAAATTGATTTTAATTTATAATTTATCATATTGTCTACAATCTGTAGTAGAGTTATAAATATTGTCATATATATTATAATTGATTGAAATTAAATCAAATTGGGCAGCAACGCATCATATCAATTATTTTCTAAAATCTGATCAAATAAAGTATTAATGTAAATTTATATTTTGCATTTGTTAGGGTCCGCACCAGTTGTTTGGTTTGGCCGCAGTAATCATATCAGTACTCAACCCAATTGGTGCTGCGATTAGACCTAAAGCCGATTCATCCAAACGATGGATATTTAATTGGTTTCACTTTTTGGTGGGAAATGCGGGTCACGTGTGCGCCATAACAGCCCTCTTCCTGGCCTACAATATAACTGTCAATCAATTGTCACCCATTTATTTATGGATACTTATTATGTATATATTTTGATATTATAATTTATAACTATTTATTTATTTATTTATTTATTATTTACTAATTATTTTTAAAACAGATATTTAGTTTTTCACATAACATCCCATCTATTGATGCAAATCTATACGTGTGACTGCACTCGTAATTCAAGTAAATATAAATTATTTGTGTTATTTCAAATTATAATAACAAAAAATTGTATCTAGTTAAATATAAATACAGTCAAGTCAAGTCAATAGTTTGATCTATAGAAAATTATGTATTAGTTAATTAATAGTCAAGTCAATATATAAATATAAAATTTATTAATTAACAAATAGAAAAATCAGTATTGTATAAAATACATCAACACTTTTCTTCAAAGATTTTAATATTTAAAATATTAGAAATAACATTTTAACTAAAATATGTATATATTTACCGTTGTACCATAACATATTAACAATAATGATTATAATTGTATTAATTAATTGTCATTTCACAGAAACACATGACATATCACTACAAGACGTGCCGCACATTAAGAGCAGTCACTCAATGGAGTCAATGACTAAACACTCGTTCCTTCAGTTCTATCTCTTTCTATACATTATTTGTGTCGTTATTCTCATCATTGGTCTCATTGTCTGTGTATTTATACCTCAATCCGCTGTCAATACTGTTAAACAATGAGAAGGATGTATATCATAGACACACCTATTAATTAAAATTAAGCAGCATTTACTTTAACATGGATGTTTTATTATTTGCACGTTTTAACACCTGGCTGCTATATTATATTGTAATATTAATATCATTATAATTTATCATTAGATAATAAATTATTTGTTTGTATATTGTGTATAATTTTAATTATTAATAAATAAATATTGTTTTACTCGTTATCATGATGGAATAATTATTATATTTAATAGAGCGATAATGCTTTATAAATTTATATTATATTACATTGGCAATGATAATCATAAATAATAGAAAATTTTTTAGTATATTTATTATTGTTAAATTGTTAAAATATGCACATTTACGACCGTCAACATTTACGTAAATTTTTTATTTTTAACCACAATTCAGTATAAATAATGTGGTTTATAGGATTGTTCGGCCCCCGACCCCCCTTCCCTATGGGACTTAACATTGGATTACAGCTTAAGTCTATAAAATAACAAGGTAAAATTTTTAAAAATGATATTCATTTAACAATGCTTTAAAAATTACATTTTCAAAATACACTTATTAAACGCAATATGTAAAGAGTAACTATTTTTATGTGATTCACTGTGTGTGAGTTGTTTTAGTTAATTATTATTTTAAATAATTTAATAGTTGTTTATTTCTATGAACAACCCCCTTTAAAATAATTATTATTAGTATTATTTTGTTAAAATATATTTTCGTAAGTCACCTTTCTTCTATGATGCTATTCTTGTCAAATTTTCGCACAATAATTTATTAACATTATTATTAATTACCGTTTTGCCGCAACAATATCGTGATGTTTAATTTCATTTTTAATTGTATTTTTAAAATTTTTTTATTTAATTTTTAACAATCATAAAGTTCTAATTGAAGTTAAATTATTTTATAAATTATAAATTTTTATAAATAGGTAAATAAAAAAGTATTAAGTAAAATATAACTTGTAGAACGATATTTCCCAAATTAATTAAAATTATAATACAAATATAATATTTTCAATAGAATTTATAAACATTTACAGTTTTAGATACTAATCCATTTGGCGTAACTAATTATTTTATCGTTAATCTCATCAAAACAAAATACTCAAGAATGTTAAGTAAAGGTGCAAGGTGTTAAATATAATTATAGTTATTTTTAAAAATATTACCGTGCATAATTTATATTATTTCATGAACCAAAATCTGGCCATCTTCTATTATACTTAGGCCTATTAGTTATAATATTATTATCGTGATAATTTAATAAATTATTTAATTAGAATGTTTTATTGGTAAACAAACACGAATTAATCATAAATACAATATTGCAATCAAATTAAATTTACATACTGTATAAACGAAGAAAACTTTACAAATAACATTCATGTAATAAAATAACAATGATATTACTGGACCAATTAAAGTTGAAGATTATAATTAATGTATATTTTGTATAATATTTATTATTAATAAACTAATTTTGTTACCTATTTATAATAAATTCTTATTACATCGAATAATGTTATTATATTTGAGATAGAGAAAGAGAGATATTTTCTTAATTTTAAAAGTATAATACAATTATTCAAATTATAATTTAATCTATCAAATAATAAAATAATTTTTGTAAATTTAGCATAATTTGTAATATTAAGTTTACTTTAATTTTACAAATTAATTGTCCAAGACATTTTTATAATATATTTCAAGAAAAATTAATTTAATATTATCATTTTTACTTACCATAATATAAAACTTTGACTCGTTAATATAAAGATAGCAATATTACATTTTATATTTACATTTACAACAAACAATTATTAAAATATACCCATGATTAATAAATAATTAGAGCCACAGATGTATATGAGTTGATAAAACTGAAAGCTATTCATAGGGAATAAGTCATATCAATAGAAACCAATGTATTGCTGTATAAATTTTGTAAGTGTTGTGTATTTCTATGAAAAACTTAAAAATATTATTAATATTTAATTAAAACGTTATATATTTTCCAACACTATCGAGACCCAGGATTATTTAATTGACAAATTTTCACATAATGATTTGATAAAATTATTATTAGTTACAGTTTTGCGACAACATTACCATAATGTTTTTAATAATTATTAATTATATTTTTAATAGTTATATATTTATTTTTGAACAATTATATTTTTAGAATTGTAATTAAATCATTTAATAAATACAAAATTTTGAGTATAAGTAAATAAAAATTAGCATTACATAAAATAAAGAAGCCTTTATATACCTTCCAGAATAATAATAATTAAAATATAACCATAATAATATCAATAAAATATCTAAATAGTTACAGTTCCAAAGTTATTAATCCTTGTTTTGGCACAACAAATTATTTTATTTTATCAAAAACAGAGTATTTAAAAATTTTAATTTACAATACTGGATGATAAATATAATTATGGTTAATTACACATCAGCAGTAAGAGTGGCGATACAGGTGTGCACATATGCTGTACACACTTATACTCATGCTATAAAAAAGTATACTCAGGGGCAAACTGTCCCCCGATTACGTGTGTACAGCATATGTGGAACATCTGTAGCGCCACTCTTACTGCTGATGTGGTTAATTATAAAAATGTTATCTTGCTTAAATAAACACACGATACTAAGAAAATATTTTGATAAAAGTGTGATATTATATCATAAAACACAATCTGACCATCTAATACTATAATTTGTTATTAATAATAAATAAAGATTTAAATTGTGTCAGAACTTATCTTATTGCTATAGACAAAAAAATGCCTGTCTACTGATAATAAAATGGGTATGATACTTTCTTAATATTTAAAAATATTTATTAATATTATAAAATAATAGTACAATCGACATACACCAAATATATTGTTATACACACGAATTTATTATAAATTACTCTATAAATTATTAATGTACAGTTATCAAGTTCAATATTGTATTTTTATGAATACTCGTATTTTACTAGTTAATAATATATTAAGAAATTATGAAATATTATTATATAATTATTTTATAAAAAAATGACCAATGAATGAACTTTAAATGTTATAATGATTATGTATTTTTATGAAAAACCTATAACATATTATTAATAATGAATTAAAACGCTATAAATTTATGTGAGCACAACATTCTTTTGCCCCAGGATAATCTCATTGGCAAATTTTTACATGATGATTTTATATAATTATTATAAGTTACAGTTTTGCCACAACATTATCATAATGCTTTAACTGATTTTTAATTATATTTTGTACTATTAATTGATCTAATTGCGTTTTACCGCTTTTGTTATTTCACCATCATCCAATGCAACATGATAACAATTATTGGTGTTAGTTTATAGCCTATTGTTTAGGCCATGATGGATTGAATCGCAACGCATAACAATACATTATTTTGAAATAAATTATTTTATAATTGATTAGAAGTAATAATTGATTATATTTGCATAATATTAGTGACTGTACTCTACGGTCATAGCTTCGGTAATTTTGTCGTTATTTGTTTACCTAATGTTAATAATGAAAGCATTTTTAAATTTTACAAAAATATGTTAAAAAATTATTTAATTATATTTTAATATTATAATTTTTTAAAGATAAAGAACGAGAGAGAGAGAGAGAGAGAGAGAGAGAGAGAGA